TGTTCCTAGTAGCGATGCACTTTGTTACTAGTAGCTTCTTGTTACTAGTAGAGATGGCAAAACAGCCAGTTTGTCATAAAACGACCTTTTCCTTGTTCCTAGAAAGGCCCCCTAGTAGCTTCACACCACTGAGGCGAGAGAGCCTGTCTTGCGCGAGAAACGAAGATGTCAGTGAACAATCCCCTATTTGACCGAAGGAACGGGAAGGAACAGGAGAAAAGGAATGGTAGCGTCCTTAGCGTCCTTGTTACTAGAAGCGTCCTTGCTCCTAGTAGCGAGGCCAGGAGCCCCTAGTAGCGTTCTTGTTAGTACTAGTAAGGCACTTGTTACTAGAAGCGAAAAGGAATGGTACCGACATGTGGACGCATCACGGTTTGAAAGTGCACGTCTTCCTGCCGTCTCTGAAGGACCCATGGAGGACCCATGGGTGACAACATCGCAGTCGCTGCTGTCGCACAGGTCACGGAACTTGGCACCGTCCTTGTTCCTAGTAGCTTCCTTGCTCCCAGTAGTGGAGGCCAGGAGCCCCTAGTAGCTTCCGTGTGTTTCTGTTTGCTTGTCAGAAAGTGTCCCCTAGAGGCCCTAGAGATATCCCTAGATATCCTAAAGGGTCTAATATCTCGGTGTCGTTTTTCCTGTGTTGTTCTTTTTATTAGCCACAAGTGCATCGCTACTAAGTAGCTTCTTTTTTCTACTATATAATAGAAATGCCCTTGATACTAGCGATGCCCCTGTTACTAGCTTCTATTTCTACTAGTTTCTTGTTAGAAAGAGAAGCAACTATTCAAGTAGCTGATACTAGTAGCTCCTGGCATCGCTACTAGGAGCAAGGACGCCACTAGGGGCGCTCCTGGCAGTACGAACGGAACAAGAGGACGCTTTCACCTTGCTTTCACCGTGTTCTTTTTCTCCGATCGCCTCGGGGGCCATGCAGTGAGCTGCCTCTCGCCTGAGCAAGCCGCTAGTAAGGCATTTGTTACTAATAGCTTCTTGTTACTACTAGTGAGGCACCTGTTACTACTAGCGTGGCACTTGTTACTAGTAGCGTCCTTGCTCCTAGTAACAAGTGCATCGCTACTAGGAACAAGTGCCTTACTAGTAGTAACAAGAAGCTATTAGTAACAATAAGCTACTAGTAGCGAGGCCAGGAGCCCCTAGTAGTTTCTTTGCTCAAAGGAGCGATGCACCTGTTACTAGAAGCGATGCACTTGTTACTAATAGCATCCTTGCTCCCAGTAAGGCCAGGAGCCCCTAGTAGCTTCTTGTTACAGATTGAGCGCAAGCCTAGGTGTTTCGATCTTTGTACAGATTCTACCCCCACTCGTTGTATTTGTCACCGGCTCCAAATCTTCTGCAGTCGATTCAACACGTTGATGATTCTTCACAAACATGATGATCATGATGAACATGTCGGCTTAGTAAGCAGAAACCAAGATGGTTTGGGTTTGGCTTGGTTTGTTCAGTGCGCATCTCCTAGCTTACAGGCCATGCTGAATTTTGGCGCTCGCCCAGCACTGATTGCTAGCGCCGACTGCCGTTTTCTGTAACTCAGGCGACTTGCCAATTGAAATGTGTTCCTCCTCATGCCATTTCAATGCCCAAGGCTTGCCATATTTCACCATCACCAATGGAAAAAGGCGTTTGGGCAATTTTTGAAAAAAGTGCCGGGCAGGTTGTTTGTAGAGGAATAAGAAGCGATTAGGGGTTCCTGGCCTTACTACTAGGAGCAAGGACGCTACTAGTAACAAGTGCATCGCTTCTAGTAACAAGTGCCTTACTAGTAGTAACAAGAACTAGGAGCAAGGACGCTACTAGTAACAAGGACGCTACTAAGTTCCAACCTCACCTGGTCGAAGCTCTTCCGCAGCCCGAAATCGGACTTGTAAAACGATGTTTCTCGGATGCACTTGTTACTAGTAGCATCCTTGCTCCTAGTAGCGAGGCCAGGAGCCCCTAGTAGCGTTCTTGTTACTACTAGTAAGGCACTTGTTACTAGAAGCGATGTTTCTCGGAAGATTCCATCAAAACCGTCCCCTTTCCCCAAAGAGCCACAGCTGAGCCACAGCTGAGTCTCTTCGATGTTATAAACCTTGCTTGTTTCTGTCAACCGTTTCTGAGTTGCTCCGATATTCAACTCTTATGCTTCTGACCTCCGCTAGCTTGGCAAGGAAAAGGTTGGCTCGGAGACATGGAAGTCAAAAGCCTTCAAAGGTGAGTTAGTGAATGGCATCCATTGGACCCTCCACCAGCCAACTGAAACTTTAAGTCCATCTATGGAGGAAAAGGCAGCAGAGCGCGCTGAGTTTCTTATACAGGCTCCAATAAAGTTTGCTAGTAGGCTGGAGGTGATCGCTTCTAGGTTGGAGGCGGCTATCAGGTTGGAGGCCATCGCTATTAGAAACAAAGGCAAAAGAAAAGAAAGAAAGGGTTTCTAATAGCAAACATTGTTACTACTAGTAAGGCACTTGTTACTACTAGCGAGGCACCTGTTACTAGTAGCGATGCCCTTGTTTCTGAAAGAAAGAAAGGTGGGCGAGTGAAGAAACGCCGAGTGAAGCTCCCAGAAACAAACACCGGACATGGCCTCCAACCTACTAACGATGGCCTCCAACCTAATAGCTTCCTTGCTCCTAGTAGTAAGGCCAGGAGCCCCTAGTAGCTCCCTTGCTCCTAGTAGCGATGCCCTTTGCTCCTAGAAGCAATCATGGTACATAAATGTCTAAGTCGACTCCCAGCCGATGCACCTCGTACGTCTCTTCGATGCCGTGCCTTCGGCCTCGACGTCTCCTACGGCAGATGCAGATACTAAGTCGCTATTAGCTTGGAGGCCATCTCTATTCCGGGCCATTGCTTGAACGAAATCCTGCAGTGTAAAGAAGATGCTGCTGTTGCTTGCGCATCTGCACGGAACGAAGGATGGAAACAAAAGGTGTGACCTGAGTTCAGGTGATTCAGCGAAATGAATTGCATATTTTAGCTAGTAGTAACAAGTGCATCGCTACTAGTAACAGGTGCATCGCTAGTAGTAACAAGAAGCTATTAGAATTAGTATTGGAATACAAACAATGCATGATTGCTTTTTGTTATTTGCCGAGGCACACCGATACCAGCACCGACGACCATGACAGTCTTGAACTCCCAAACTCTTTGGGCAGGAGCTCCAAAGGGGCCCTGAAGCCTACGAAGAACTTTCAGAATCCATCGCCGCATCACCGTTTCTATCCTTCTCTCTTTTCGGGAACTCTTTCTTTACACAGCGCAAGTGCTCTGGGATCCCCAGCTGCAACTCCACAGTCCCAGGAGGAAGATTCTTAGAAAATTCGATGTCATGTTCTGAACAGCAAGAAATACATAAAGGGTGAAGGTGACAAAACAATGTAAACAAAATCAATAGCTTTGTGCAGGCCCTGGTATGTAAAGCTATGTAGAAAAACGGTGGAAGAAGCGAGCCAGCTTGTCATTCTCTCGCTCTCGTGTCTCTTCTAGCTGTTTTTTTTTGGGTCGTGTCTCTTCCTCATTCCACGTGCTTCTCCGCGCCACTCAACACACGCAGCACAGCCGTTCCTCCGCTTTACCCGAAAGAAAAGAAAGAAAGGGTTTCTAATAGCTTCTTGTTACTACTAGTAAGGCACTTGTTACTACTAGCGAGGCACCTGTTACTAGTAGCGATGCCTCAGAAAATGTTTCCCAAGATTGAAGCTATTGGTGTAAATATGTGCACATAAAACTGCTGCATCACGTGATACCCCAATGAACTCAGAATTATGATGTGCAGCTTTGGGCTTGTAACTCATAACCTTGTCACCTTGTCACACACCCCTCTCTGAAGATCAATGAATCAATCCTTGCAAGCATCATACCATCTTCATTCATTCCTTCCTTCCTTCCTTCCTTCATTCATTCATTAATTCATTCATTCGTCTATGAGTCTATTTGTCTTCGTCTTCGTCTTCGTCTTCGTCGTCATCAAATTCACACATATCCTCGTAATACATCATGCCATCTATTCTGTCTTGCCTTGTCCGCTATGACTTTTTTTCCATTTGTTTTGCAAAGGAAAGCTTCACAAAGCTTGGGATACTGTACCCGCAAAAACCGTGTCGCTCTGTCCAAGCTGCCGCTCTTTCCATGAGCGCCACGGAATCCTCTGTCCGGGTGCTCTCCGCACGGTCTCGCACGGTTGATGCCTCTCGCCCAAAACAAATCTTGGTTTTTTGTTACGAACATAGCGTCCTTGCTCCTAGTAGCGATGCCCTGTGTTCCTAGTAGCGTCCTTGCTCCTAATAGTAACAGAATGTCTAGAAACAAGGTCGAAACAGAATGAAATTCTTAACGACATGCCTACAACATGACGCTACTAGTAACAAGTGCATCGCTATTAGTAACAAGTGCCTTACTAGTAGTAACAAGAAGCTACTAGTAACAAGCCTACAACATGTCTTATTCTTGCCTGCCGTCGTGATCGATCAAAGGACACATCCAAGGAGACTTTGTCAGAAGACCCAATGCCCTGAAGCGACGAAGAGGAACGGAAGGAAACAAGAGCAAAGCCAAAAGAGCTGAAAGGGGAAGGACACGTAGATGTTCTTAAGCCTGGAAAAGGGGGGGTAGGCCGCTAGCAGAGGTAGCTACTTAGTAGCTCTATTAGGTACAGGACGCTTCTAGGTAGGACGCAGGATAGCTCACGTTCGCACTAGATGTTCAGGGAAATTGTTTTTGCCGGGGTTCTGCCGTAAGAGGTAGGCCAACAGTAACTTAGTAAGTAGTAAGGGGTACGAAGCTACTAGCAATAGGTAGCTACTAGAATGGACGCAGGAAAGCAAGCAATAAAATGTGGTTCCTAGATTTAGGGAAACAAATGCACGAAGCTGCAGCGAAGAGAGAGAGAGAGAGAGCAGCAACACTACGAACCACGCAGCTGCAACTCGCCTTAAATGAGCTTTTCGTCAACGGCTGCGCCTCCACAACCCGGTGCACCGCGGTGCGAGGCGTCGCACAAGACTCCAACATACTCCAAGCAACAGCAAGAACCTACCAGCTAAACTAAACTACTAGCGATGGCCTCTCCAACCTAATAGCGATGGCCTCTCCAACCTAATAGCGATGGCCTCTCCAACCTGATAGCGATGGCCTCTCCAACCTAATAGCGATGCCCTCTTCAACCTACTAGTGATGGCCTCCAACCTGCTAGCAATGGCCTCCAACCTAATAGCGATGAACTCTCCAACCTACTAGCGATGGCCTCTCCAACCTACTAGCAATGGCCTCCAACC